AAAGCAGGATTGACAGAATGTAGATGAGGTAAATGAGCCTCGGGGCAGCACATAGATTGATAGAAATGGGTTAATTCACATTATAAGAGCTAGCTAAAAACAAGCCTAAGTTATTGGCCGAACTTTCATAAACTAGTAATAAGTCTCTGTGTCATGATTTGGGAGCTGGCTGGCAGGACTAAGACTCGCTACAGGAGTGTTTTATCTGTCCCTTGTCAGGTCAGATTCTGGTCTATCCCAATTTTCCACACACCTCTGCACCTTTCCTCTCTCGGGCTGTCTGGACCTTCCTCTGCTGATTTTCTATGTAGACATAGATGACCGTGCACGGTCTCCTCTGGTCTTCACTAATGCTGTAAGCGAGGGTTCTGAACAGCTTTGTTTGCTGCCCTTGTAGTTGGGAAAATCTTTAAAGAATAAATCTTTATGGCTCAGAACTTTCTTGTGCATGTGTATGTGCGCACACATGTGTTCTTGTGTGAACATGCGTGTGCACACATGTGGAGGTAGAAGACAAAGGCCTCCTAAGATGCTGTCCTCAGACACCCTCTTCCAGGCTTCTAGACAGAGTTTGCCTATGGTCTAGTACTCACCACATAGGCTGTACTAGCTAAGCTAGTGAACACTAAGGATCTGGCCATTTTGTCTTCCCTAACTGGGGTTATAAGTATGTACCACCACATGACTCCTAGATTTTTCTTTCTTTTCTTGTAGGCTCTGTGACACTGGACTCAGATCTTTACACTTACAAGACACACACTTTACCCACTCAACCATCATTCCAGACCAGGAACACTCTAAATTCTCCAAAATTGTCATTCTAACAATGCTCTCTGTAACTCTAATGACTCATATTCACACTGCACTATTATTTTCCTCATAGCACGGCTACAGACAGTCCTTTATCTGCCCAAAGAGTCTTTAAAAAATTAAGCATAATTTCAAATGAAAACAAACAAACAGAGGCTCAGAAAGTTTGGGTTAATTCATCAAAGTCACATTCCTAAAAGCTAACAATTCAAATACAGATCCTAACATCAAATTTATCATTTTTCCATAGCACACTTGACAGCACACTTCTGCCATTTTCATAGAACAACAAGTAATGTGATGCCTTCTGAAAACAAAGTTTTCCAAAGTACTGAAATATCCCCCCAAATATACTAAAATATCCTTCATAATAAAGTAGTGTCTAAAGTGGTAGAATAAAATACTAGCTTCCTCTCACTCTTTCTCCTCCCCTTCTCCCTTCCCCCATCACCTTTCTCTCCCACTCCCCCTTCCCTCTTTTGCTGGAATATATGTGGTTCCCTCTCACCATATTTAAGAACTATAGCTGCTCCCTAGGAGCAATGCAAGGAGACTGAACTATGAGAAGTGACAATAAGGGGTGAGAGCAATCTCTCACCAATGATCACTCCTCGTCACACTTATACTTGTGAGCAGGACGCTGTAGACACGATGATATACACCACAGCATGCCACTAAGAACCCCTGGCCACAGTGTGCGAAACCATTACACAGTGGAGTGAGGAAAGTTCTAAGGTTCTCTGACTCATGAGTTTGCTTAATGCAAGAAGTCATTTACAAAATAAAAGTGATCTTAAATGTCTCGATATTTAGAAGAGGAGGAAGAAATTTAAAAAAAATATAAATTCATGAGATTAAGGGTTAATCGTATATCCCAGGTGTTCTGGGGAGTTGGTTTTTTACTGTAGTTGTTTGCTTTTTGTTTTTGTTTTTATTTTTTATTAACTTGATCTGGGAAGAGAGAACTTCAGCTGAGAAAATGCCTCCATCAGATTAGTCTAACGCAAGCCTGTGGGGGAATTTTCTTGATTAATGATTAACATGGGAGGCCCAGCTCACTGTGCCACCCTGGGCTGGTGTTCTTCTTAGCTTGAAGCAGAAAGCAGGCTGAGAAAGCCATGAGGATCAAGTCAGCAACTTCCATATCAGTTCTGGCCTCCAAGTTCTTGCCTTGAATCCCCGCCCCCCCCCCCCACACACACTGACTTCCACCAAGAGAGGACTATGACATGGACCCAAGAGCCAAATAAACCCTTTCACTCCGAATTGCTTTTGGACAGAATGTCTTATCTATCAATAGAAAACAAACTGGCATACCAGGTCAGAAAATAATTTCACTCAGTAGAATAAATATCCATTTCCCTGGACCTAGGAAAACCTAATATTTTGTAACTGTAACACATAGTTGGATTAAAGGCCACAGAAATGTACAACTTTTTAAACAAATACCCACAGACTAAACTCTTCAACTCCTATCAGCTTTCTGAGAGGGCCCAAGCAGCAACTCCATGGAGGTCTCTTATACTTACATTTGTAATAACTGATAAAGAGTTAGACTAAATATTAGAGAGCAAATATCAAATTTATAGGTAACTCAAAGTTGGTAGAAGATACTATGACTTGGAGGAGCAAATTAGGAACTAGCACATATATAAAATGTTTACTTTGTTTCAGAGAGATTTGGGCATATGGCCATATGAAAAATTGTTTCCGGTATTAGTTACCCCTAAGTAATGCCTCAAAGGCTGTATTCATGTGAAAAAGCAAGTTGTCTTTGTAGTTTATAAGTCTGAAGACTGACCTGATGAGAAGAGGTCTAGGGCTTGATTGCATCTGGAGAAGGCTGGTTCTGCAAATCATGCCAATTAGGGACTATTGAAGCATCTGGATCCAGTCAATAACTAGAAAACATAAAACACAGTACAAATGCTTCCAAGTTAAAAGTTAGAACTCTAGAAACTGGCTTAGACCATGCTCTGCTACTCCAGAGAAAACTGGCAGTCAGAAAAGTGAGATTTATAATGATAGCTCCATTTAATGAAATTTCAAGGAATGACAATGCTTCCTAAATGAAATACAGTCATATGACACTCAAGGACAAGAATATATTCTTAGAAATATACTGGTAGGTGACCTCATTATTGGATGACCATCACAGAGTACCTGCACAAATAAATATGGTGACATCATCACTAGGTGGTGTAGGCTAACAGGACTACTGTTGCATGTGTTCTGTTGTTAACCCAAACTTCAGTATGCATTGTAAGACTGTTTATTACTTCTAAAATGGTAACTCCCTTCTTCCCGCCATCCTCATCTCTACCCCAATCACATCTACACTACAATGCCTATGTCCCTACCTCATGCACATCCACACGAAACACACTTATCAGAGTTCAAAAGTCACTTACTAATCGGTCCATAGATCCCACTTGTGTAAATCAGAGGCACAGTTTGTACGTGTACATTTTAAAATCTCTAGCCAGTCCTTTAGCCAGCAAACCATTAGTGCCAGCTACGCTGTCAGATACTAGGACAGAACCATAGCATCCCACGTCTTGCCATTATAGAGTTTATATCTCATAGGAGACATGAATATCAACAAATCATATTAATGAATCAAATGACAACTATATCACCAGGCAAGCAATCTGAAAAAGGATTGTAGGAAGAATAGAGGTGCAAGTGACTTAGCCTAGGAGCTCCCTGAATAAAGGGTACTTAGCTAAGAATGACTGGAAGAGAGAAGCTCTAAGAATGACTGGAAGAATAAATCCACTGAGTTAATCAGAAAGGCTTGGGGTGAGGGGATCCTTGACAGAACTACATCATGTACACAGTCCTGTGGCAGAAATAAATGTTAGCAGAACCGAGAGAAAAAAGCATGACTGAGTCAGGTAAAAAGTTAGGAGACTGAGGAATGGTTGAAGATGGAGATGTAGCCGAGGCTGACTGGTGTAGGGTCATGAATCAATGTTGAGGGGTTTGGAATTGGGCATAAGAGAAAAGGAAAACCAGTGCTGGGTGAATACTGCATATATCTGAATGGAATGAGGGTCCTAAGAGTTAGATTTTTTAATGATAACTCTATCACCCTTATAGAAAACAGTTTATTGATTAAGCAGAAAAAACATTAGCTATGATAGCATCAGAAATGAGCATGCTATGGAACCAAGGAGAAACCAATTGATTAAGGAGCATTTACATTTAGAGATCCACTTGACAGGGAGTGTTCCCAGACACAATTTTTGGGTTTAGGGCATATGTGACTGAATGGCATCATGATTCATTGGGACAAGGCCACTGAAGCAGAGCATACTGGTTCATTCATGAAAAAGTTGATGTTTGAGTTGGTTTTGTGGTATTGAGATGGATTTATTAGATAAGCCATTACATGCAGTCCAAAAGTTCAAGGAGGCCATCCTACTGCAAACATCTTATTAAGTTAAAATGATCATAGGAACAATACTTAGGTAGCCTTCGGAGTACATACAGCAATTTTAGAGTGCACGTGCTGTTAAATATCAGGGCTATGGACATCTGTCTTGCTGGTTTCATCTGTTAATTAAATTAACCACCATTTTAAACAGCAAAGGTGAATCCCAAGACCTGTGGAGTTGTAACTAGCATGCTTGGCTATGTCTGTACTGCACAACTCCATTTCTTTTGATAATGAGATAGTGTGTACACTCTCACAGGAGCTGAAATGGCTTCGAAGAAATTCTCACCCATCTCCCTTCGTTTCTGCAGGAAGAAAAGGCAGGACACGCTGAGTGAGCCAATGGTGTACACAAGGTGAGAAAGTGCTCCAATTAAATTGCAGGGCGATGGCAGAAGTGAGCAGGGAAGAACACCTGCACCGTCTTTGATAGGCAAGTTAGTCTGAAGAGAGTTTAAAACACACACACAAGAAGAATAAAGGCAGACACCAACTCTTCTGTGTTTCCTTTCGGGCCATTTCCCTGTATGCTATTTACCAGTCAGTCAAACATGTGGCATGATGGAATATATTTCCATTCACATTATTTCCTAGTCAAAGTTTCACTGGGAAATAAACAGACATCACTAAATTAGGAGATACGTCTCTAGGAAGCCAGAGCCTTTCTGGGGGAAACCATTCCAGGCGTCAACAGAAAAGAATGAGGAGGCTGTCTTCAGGGTGGCTCATAACGGCTTTCAGAAACCGACCAGATGCTAGCTGGACTCGGATGGCTCCATCAGGAATAGTGGAGCTGCCTTGACCGTAGACTGCAGGAAATTCGAAAACTGTTCTGAACAGTCCTTCCTAAGCCCCTGGTTTCCTGCACTTGCTCTCTTTTCCTTTTCATAATTTTGAGTATCTGTTTTCATTAATTTTGTTCAACATATGCCCTTTGTGGATAAGTGCTTGAAATCAGACTTAGCGGCAGTTACAAAGGAGATGCATGTATGGTGGGACTGGGTGGGTTCAAGTCTTCTACACACAGAGGCCAAAGCTGGTGCCGTTTCAGGGATTGCCCTGAGCCTTGCTTTTGCTCATGCCTGTGTGTGTCCATGAGCTCCAACCTCGTCTCCACGGAAAGAAGGCTGAGTGGAACATCTGCAGGCAGGGAGCAGGCAAAGCCACCAGGCAGTATGAACACGTGTCCCTCTTCTCCAGGTAGTCCGAAGCAGGGCAGTCAACCCCATCAGTGCACCAGGGCCCGTGTCTACTTTTCCGTCTAGACTGGCATCTCCATTCTCCCACCCCGGGTTTCCTCCCTGATCCATTTCTGCCCTGCCCTGAGGCAGCGAAGAGCCCCTCACAGTGTTCTCACTAATTACCTCTGATGTGTGGTTGGCAACCTTATTTGCGAGGCTCTGTCTATATTCTGTACCAGGTTGGCCTCGCCCCTTGGGAGATAAGAAAAATGTGTGTCTTTGAATCAAAAGATCTGAAAATATAGTCAAGATGTACTCCTGTGATCCCTTAATGTAGTTTAAGCCAGGGCCCCTTTATTGTCTCTCAAACACCATTTCCCAAATGCACCGCAGTGTCAGCCTATTCTTCAAAGGGGCTGTACAGAGAGCACTGATGTCTCCAGCTGGAAGCAGACATGAAGGACAGACTCAAGCCTGCTGCTCATCACTCGGCAGAAGAGGCCCTGCTTCTCCATGGAGACTAGGGATAAGAGCAGAAATGTCTCTGAATTTCAAAGTCTTCTGATGCCTGCTTCCTGAAGACAGCAGTATGTGAGTTTGCTTCGGGCCCACCGCCGTTTGTACCAATGGCATCCCTTATATGCAATATGAAGTCAAATTAAGCTCACAAGGTGAGCTCTCTCGCTTGAGGGAGGTTCACATATTTGAGTGTTTGTTTCTCTCCTTCTTATCTTCAGTATCCTCTTTATTCCAACCCTTTCAAAAAATGTGAAAACAGTCCTTAACTCATTTGCTGTATAGAAGAGGGTGCAGTTTTTAAAACAAAATCTATGTCTTAGATAATCTCAAATGATAACTATAACTTTCTCTTGGCTTTTAATTTAGTATAGGGCTACAAGGAAGATGCTCTGTGATACGGTGTTACTTTTCTGTTGCTGGGATAAAACACCAGGACCAAGGCAACTTACAGAGGGAATTTGTTTTGGCGTATGGTTCTGGCCAAGTGGCAAGGCAGCATAAGAGATCATATCTTAGTCCCAAGGGAGTGCACACTGGGAGGTAGGTCAGGCTATACACTCTCAAAGCCCCACCTCCACCCCCGGCCCACATGTCATACTTCTCCAGCAACACAATACCGCCTAACCCTCTAAAGCAGCACCACCAACTGGTGACTAAGTACGCAGAGGCTGAGACTATGGAGACTTTCCTCATTCAAACCACAGCAAGTACCTTATCCCCCTTCTCATCTTCCCCTGCATGCTGGAAGATCTCTGATCTGTAACCTGGATTTCATACTGCTCCTTCCTTGTCTGTGCATTAGGGGAAGATGGTATCCAATCCAATGGTTGATTTCAGAAGAATAATCATGTTTGGCTCAGTTTGGACCTTCTTTTCTTTGACCACAACAGAAAACCTTTTATTGTAGAAAATGTCAAACATACACAAAGGTGTAGGTGAAAGGGTCTAATGAGCCTCTATACCCTCACTGTCTGAATGAGCCTCTGTGTCCTCACTGTCTGTCTCCCGTAGTTTCCAGACTGGTCCCATTCATGTTTCACCTGCTCTTTACTCTTTCCTAGATTTGTCCTGACTCACTTTTTTTTGATACAATATTCTGAAACAAATTCCAAGCATCATAATTTCACCTGTAAATGCATACATCTACAGAAAGAGATTTATAGAGTTTGTTTTTAAAATTGAACCAAAGCCAGGCGGTGGTGGCGCACGCCTTTAATCCCAGCACTCGGGAGGCAGAGGCAGGCGGATCTCTGTGAGTTCGAGGCCAGGCTGGACCGACAGCCTCCAAAACAATACAGAAAAAAACCCTGTCTCGTAAAAACAAAAAAAAAAAAACAAAAAACTAAATAAATAAATAAATAAATAAATAAAATTGAACCGAATTTACTATGTGGGTAATAGATATCAGAATATTCATAATATTTTCCATAGAATTATTCCTTTTTATTTAATTAAAATATACTATCTCCCTCCACCTTCTCTTCTCTTTAGCCCTCCCAAGCGCCACCTTCCCAATTTCATGACCTCCTCATCTTTAACCATGGTTGTTACATGTGTAGAGAAATGAATAAACATATCAATATAACTTGCTGGATCTGTTCAATATTGCCTTTATATGTATGTGTCTATGGCTGATCACTTGATATTGGATAACCAACCATGTATTCATTCCTGGGGAAGGCAAAGTCTTCCTCTCTCAGCAGGTGCTGATTGCTTGGAGTTCTTCATCTAGATATGGGACCCTGTGAGTTTTCCCCCATCTTTGCTGGGGTGTTTATTGTTGTTGCAAGGTTGAAAAACTGGAATCCTGGAACCGCTGTTTCCTTTCTTATTCAATGGCATTAAGGGTCAGGAACACTGGTTCAGCGTGTCTCACTGGAACTGGCTTGGGCAGGCTCTCACAGTTTTAGGTCCTGTTCTTCTCTCCCCAAACAGTCTGGCAGCCATCTCTCTTTATTCTTTTCCTGTAAGAAAGCACAAACATTCCCTCCACCCCAAATTGGGTCTCCTCTGATATCTAGTGTATGGATGTCTCTATCTGACCTGAGCAAGAGTGGCTCGAGTTCCATTTAGCTGCAGCATTGAAGTATACACCCTGGTATATACTAGTGGGTGGTATTAAGCCCACAAAGAGGCATGTCAGCAAATGCAGTTGTGATCCCAATTTGTAGTGGATTACTGAAATAGGAGGCCTCAGAATCTAGGAAGTTATTCTTAGAAGGTGTCTATGTCCCCACCACCAGAGATTACTTCTACCTACCAATAGCCAAGGCTTCATAGTATCATACTCTCCACAATGAATAGGAAGAGTGAAACCAAAAAACTAGAGGTTAAATAAATTTTAGGAGGAACTTCTGTGGATAGGGCAGGTTCACCCAAGGTCATGTCGGTGATGAGGAAAGATGGACTGACAGGAATACTTATCCCCACAGGCATCAGGATGGATGGATTCTTCATGCAGGGCCAATGGTTCTCCTCAGAGGCCAATTTCAGTCCTCCCCCCTTCCCCCGACTGGGTCCAGAATCCACAGAAGTCACAGTACCAACACAACATCCAGGGACTCAGATGGAACTTTCGCCATCCTGTGGGAAAACACAAACAGACCCTAGGGCCCACACCAAAACTGCATCCGGTCCTTTCCATTTCCAGAAGTGAGCTCTTTCCACTTGATGAAAGCATGGGAGGGCTGTGGAGCCCTCCAGTGCTGATCAGTGGCTGACTTATGGTTGGAATCCACAGTTAAAAGTTTAACGTCCATAATGTAAGAGCTAAATGAGAATGGGGAGAGGAGGTGTGCATACCCAATTCCCCCTTCTTTGTTTTTTCCCAAATAGCTTTTTAATGAGCAGTGGGTTCTTTCCACAACAGCTTGATCCTGAGGGTTATAAGATATCCCTGTGTTATGGTGGATGGAATAGTCTGTACAAAGCTTTCACTAGTATAAGCTGGCCCATGATTGGTCTTAATTTGTCTAGGTACTCCCATATAAGCGAAGGCTTGTAGTCAATGATTTTTAACATCCTTTACCTTTTCTCCTGAATGAATGGAAACAAAAGTTAACTGAGAAAAAGTGTCTACAGAAACAAGGACATACTGTAATTTCCCAAAGGAAGCTATGTGTGTTGTGTCCATTTGCCAAATATCATTGGATGCAAGGCCTTTGGGGTTAACACCCATGGGTAGAACCATCAAATATTCTGCACAAACAAGGCGAGATTTAACTATGTGTAAAGCTTGATCCTTGGTGATTTTATAACAAAAGCTTAAGGAACCAGTATTGAGATAAAATTTATTGTGAGCCTAAATAGCAGCCTCAAAGGCTGAAGCTGTAGCCAAACAAACTTGATCGGGCTTCATGTATTTATCAGCCATGTCATTCCCCTGGCTAAGGAGACCTGGTAAGAGGGAATGAGAACACACATGTCCTATAAAAACAGGATGTGATCTTTGCCCTAATAAACTATGAATCTTTAATAAGTGCTCTTGGACATGGGAAGCTGGGGCCACACAAGTGGCAGTTTCTAAAGGTCCAAGGATCTGAAAAACATTTTTACTGTCTGTATATAAATTTAATGCTTCAGAGGGGAACATGTGTAAGGCTAAGCATACTGCCTGTAATTAGGCCACTTGGGCTGATCTCAACCCAACCTTTACTCTCTTGATGACAGGAAAGGATACAACCACTGCCAGCCCGTGGGATGAACCATCAGCAAATGGGTGTATGAACAATAATTTTGGGAAGACTACAGGATGCATACTAAAGAACTGAGGTAATTTATTAGCTGGGTAGTGATTATCAAAGGCGCATGAGGAAGAACAAGCAAATATGGTCCAATCGCCAATATTTTGTTGGAGTCAGGCAATTTGAGAGGAGTTGTAGGGGGTAACAACAACTTCAGGTCCTTTGCCAAAGAATTGTAAACTTATCTTATATGTCCTAAGAATAAGCTATATAACTTCTTGTGGGTATGCTCTAACTGCCTTAGAAGGAGAGGCATGATCATGTACCCAAAGAATGGGTCCAGTCTGCCAAAAGACCCCATGGGGTATGGAGGGAAAGACCAAAAAGGATAGGGAAATGTTGTAATCCATATAGTTAAGATGCACCCTGTATAAGGCTTGCTGACTTATCTTAATGTAATTCCTGCCTTCTTTAGTAAGAGTGTGGGGAGAAATAGGATCAGGATTCCCATGCAAGATATCAAACAGAGGACGAAGCTGCCCGGTGGAAAGTCCTAGGCAAGGTTCAATTAATATCTCAGAGCAGTTTCTGAAAATCATTTAAAGTTTCTAATTTGTCTAGTCTTAGAGTAATTTTTTAAGGACAAACACCAGTTTTTAATAAGTGATGAACTAAATATTGATAAGGAGAATGTTGTTTGCTTTTTCAGGAACTATCTGTAATCCTGTAGTATTTAGGGCAGTTTGCAAATCACCAAGGCTTGGAGGACATAAGGGAGCTCCTTAGCAGCCAGGAGAATACCACCCATGTAATGAATGATATATAGATCAGGATATTTATCTCTAACTGACTGTAAAGCAAGGGAAACATGCATTTGGCATATGATAGGGCTGCTTGCCATGCCCTGATACAGCACGGCCCATTGATATCTTAAAATTAATGGAGGGCACACTAAAGGCAAATCATATACAATCATTAGGATGTAGAGATATGGTAAAAAAATCTTTTAGGTCAATAACTAATAAACACCAATCTTTTGGAATTCCTACCAGAGTGGGCAAACCTGGTTGTGTGACACTCATGACCATCATAGTTTTATTGACCTTTCTCAAATCCTGTAACAGGTGCCATTTTCCTGAATTTTTCTTTATAACAAAAATAACACATGGGGTGTTCTGACTTCCATGTGATTGGAATAGGCTGTATGGGTGGAGGCTTAGTCACAATGGCCCCAGTTAAAAATGTCCCAGTCCTGTCCAATTCCCTAACTTACAGGTAACAGAATTTTTTGAGGCAACTAGTTGAGGATAACCCTGTGAATATCTTCCTTGTCTTTTGCCTGACACATAACCCTGGTCAGCCAGGATATTTTGGACTGGTTGAGTGGTAACAACTGCTCCCATATCTTGTAGGATGTCTCTTCCCCATAAATTTACAAGAATATGATCCAAAACAAAGGGGCGAAAAAGTCCTGTGTGCCCCTCATCATCTCTCCATTTGAGAAGTTTTGAGATGCACTCAGGAGCTACAGCAGTACCCACTCCTTTAGCTCTGTAGATGGGGGATTAAGAGGCCAGGCTTTTGGCCAAACTTTTTAGAGATAACTGAAGAGTCAGCTCCAGCATTCAATAAGCCTTTAAAAGGTTTTCCTTTCGTAACTAATCTTGGGGTTGGCCTTCCTTCCATGTTTGAAACCCAGAATGCTGATGGACCAGTAGATCCAAATCCTTAATCTACTCTTTCAGATTAAAAAAAAAGGATTATTAGACTTAAACATGGGCAGTAATACCTGTTGTGTTATATGAGCTCCTTGCAGGATTCCTATGACACTTCTCTCTGTTCCAATCATAACTTTTATTTTTCCTGTATATTCTGCATCTATAATTCCTGGGAAATTTTTTATTCCTTTTAATACAGCACTGCTGCGTCCAAGAAAAAGCCTTATAAATCCAGAGGGAGGGGAGTTGGCCAAGGAACCCCAAACACCCTGTCTCTATGGCTTGTACTGCCATCTGAGGGGTTAATACTGCTCAAGTGGAGGCACAGAGGTCCAATCCCATGCTTCCTGGGGCATCTCAGACAGGGTCCTGGACGTGAGAGTTTCTGGTCGGTACAAACTTAATAGGGTGAGTCACAGGTGTATCCATGGCCCTGTACACCTGGCACTGAGGGTCCCTGAAGAGGTAGGGGATTGCCTACCATATCAAACTTAGACCCACATTCATTACTCCAGTGATGACCCCTGAGGATTGCACAGGAGAAAATATCCAGGTTGACTGCAACTAAAACATGTTTTAGATTGGGCCACAGGATTTGCTCCCTTACTTGTGCCTTTTATGGTGGATGCTATGACTGGGCCCATCATGTGATGCCAGTCTATATCTCGATAGATGCAGATGTAATCATTAAGGTTTTTGTTTTATGTAGCTGCAAGGTCTCTTTACAGTATTTATTAGCGTTTCAAATGCCAACTGCTTTACTATGGGCATAGCACCATCAGCTTCTCCAAAAATTCTTCCTGCTAATTGAAGGACGTGGTCAACAAATTTAGAGTATGGTTCTGAGGGTCCTTGAAGGACTGTGGATAACTGATCTCAGGTGTGCTTATTAGGCAAGGTTTTCCAAGCTCTGATTGCAGCTACAACAATTTGGGCATATACAGCTGAGTCATACAGAATCTGTTGGGCTATATTAGCATAAGGTCCAGATGGGGTAAGCATTTCCACATTTCTACAAGGGAAGCCAGCAGCAACATTACGTTGAAACTAACCTTTCCATATCAAATAATCTCCCCCTGATAATGTGGCAGAGCACAATTGTAACCAATCACTAGGAATACAGTTTAGGACTCCAAAGGATTCAAAGATTGCAAGTGTAAATGGGGCATGGGGCCTGTAAGTTGTTACAGCTTCCTTTAATGGCTTGATAGCTTTAAAATGTAAGGGATTGCATTCTTGGACATATTGTCCTTGCTTAGCCATCTCTGTGACTGGGAAAGGGACTCCTCCCCATGAGCTCTCTCCAAGAGGAGGGGCTGATGCTAGTAAGGGTGGTTTCGATGGAATGAACACGAAGGCTTGGGTGATTGTTTAGCATCTATGATTTTAAGTTTTGTTTTTATTCCTTCTATCTCTCGTTCTAGGGACGATCCCTCTGAAGTTAAAGAAGAGAGGGATTCCTCAGAGGAGGATGCCCGCATTCCTGCAATAATTTTACTAACTGTTCCTCTGTTGTGCCCAAATTCTGAACCCCAAAATCACCAAGAGGCCCATTTCAATGCAAAAGCAAAGAGTCTTTTATTGTAGATGTTTAAGGAACAAACCCCATTAGCTCAGGCCCTTCACCCAGCAACCATGGCGAATGGCTCGAGAAAGACCCCAAGCAACCTTGAGGCAGGGATCCTAAAGGGCAGCATAAGGGGAGTGTCTAGGGGCATGAAACAGTCTCAGGATTGGTGTGCTTCTAGGTTTGGGTGACCCGCGCTGTGTTGATTGGTCAATTGGTTGTTATGGGCCATAGGCCCTCCCAGGGCGGTTGCTATGCTCTGCAGGTCACTGTTGTGCACTGTCCATAAAGCACACCCAGAGCCATAAAGCTCAGTCCACCAGCTAACTTCTGATTGGTTCCTTGCCACGAGGAGGGCATCTGACCTTAGTGACCAGGACAGGAGCGGCAAGGTCATGCAAGTGCATGTTAGCCTGTAATGGCTGCTAAAATGGGGGACTGGTCACTACACCTCCTGGGCATTTTCAAATGTTTTTTCAAGGTTAGCCATCTGTTCCTTCACCTTAACACTATCACTCAATAGGGCATCCCTCACTAATCTCCAAAAGGGAAAGGTGACCACAGAAAAACTTTCCAGTCCCTTTTTCTGAAGGGCCTTCTGAAGGCTGTATTTAACTTGTTTCCAGTCAGGGATTTTAAGCCCTCCTGGGTATAAAAACCATGAACTTGTCTTTTCCAAAGTTAAAATAAAATCTCTAGCCGTCTTTTGCTTAATGTTGGTACCTTGTCTCTTTAACAATTCTACTAACTGTTCTATTAATACAGCCTTAGAAGTTGAGTTACCCATTTTCCAATACACCCTCACAAATCCTTACCTACTGGCCAGCCACCGAGGGCAATCTCTCAAGGTTCCCTTTCTTTCCCGACCTTGGTGTCAGGAAAAGGCCTGGAGATTTAATACTTCAATTTTACTAACTGTTAGAAGTTGAGATACCTGTTTCAATTCCTTTGTTTCACAAGTCTCCTTTCTTTCCTGAGTCTCCTTTCTTTTCCAATCTTCTTTCTTTCCCGATCTTTTCCAATCTTTCCAAGTCTTTTCAAATCTCGGTGGAACCTCCACTTGTGGCGTCCACACCATGAACAAGTCCAAGATACCAGGAAATGAAAGACAAAACGTCCGATGTTTGTGCTAAAAGATTGCATCTGCCACCTTTATTACCAAGAGAATGAGTGCATGCTTCCATGCTTCCGTGCTTGTGTGTGTGTGTGTGTGTGTGTGTGTGTGGGTGTGCGGGCATGTGCGTGCGCGTACGTGTCTCATAAGGCGTGAGTAGTCTTATATACAGACTTGCAGCACAGTGGAGAAACTCCAGGTGTAAAAGCTTGTGTTTTCCTAATGCTAGACATTGATGTCAGGTGGGCAAGGCCGGGAATGTAAGCCAGGACTAGAGAGCAGGATGCAGCTGTGGCTATCAGCTGACAAGCAATTGACAAGCAATGCACAGAGATCCATGGGGCCCAACAGACTAGCTGTGACTTTCTGTGATGGTCTCCTCCTGCTGCACAAAGAAGCCTCTTTGCTGAGGTAGGAGAGCTGCACTTTATCTGTCAAGAGGATTTTATCACAACAACAGGAAAAAATACCTGACTAAAACAGGTGATGAACAACTAATGCCTACTCCTCCCAAAAAGTGTCACACCTCATGAGTTAGGTGAATGACCACCCTACATCTGAGGAAACTGAAAACTGACCTCCCACTAGGGCAAAATATCTCCACCAGTAGAGTGTTCCAGGCTTCCTTCAGGAGGAAAAGCCAAGAAGCAAAGAAACAGGTTTGATAGCCAGGAAGAATAAGCATGGAGCCCCCCTTCTAAGGTAACAAACACAGAAGGGGGAAAAAATCTCTTGTCCTTTTAAAACCCAGGAGGGTTCTTTCTTCCTTTAATTTGATTCATTTTCTAAAAGTAAGACAGCAGCAGTGATAAAGGAGAAATAAGCTGTGGTGAGAAAGATTGCAAAGGCAGAAATTCTATCGCAAATTTTAAGAGGTAATTTCTATAGTGAATTGGAGTAAGAAATGAGTGGGGACAGGGTCCTGTAAAGCAAAACGGTAAAGGAAAATCTGATATGGATGCTCATAAAGTAAAAACAGCAATGACATATCGAAAGAAAACTCAGGTTAAGGAGAGACCAAAGGTACTGTGTGTGTGTGTGTGTGTGTGTGTGTGTGTGTGTGTGTGTGTGTGTTGTATGCAGGCAGGTCGTCAAGTTAGTTCTCTGCCTTATTTCCTTGAGACAAGGTTTCTCACTAAGCCTAGAGCTCATCATATAGTGGCTAGGTTGATGGTCAGAAGTTCCAATGCTCTTCCCACCATCTCCACCCCACCCACACCCCCAGTGCAGGGGTGATAGGTACAGATGGCCATAGCCACATTCATGTTTTTATGTGGATTCTAGGAATCTCAATTCAGGTCCTCATATTTTCATAGCAAGTGCTATTACTCTCTGATACAACTTTCAGTCCCTACAGTATTCCTAGATGATACATTCCCATATGTATAAATTTCAATGTTAAGAATCAAATTCAGAATGTGTACATGCCGAGTCATACTTCCTGCCCCACTTTCCCATATTAAAATAGAATACCTGGTGTGACAGAAAAAAATAATTATTTAAAGAACTTATTTAAAGAAGCCAAGGAAATAACTTTCCTTAGACTCTCAGAATCTACACTGACCTCTGAATAATTTGTTTTAAATTAGTGATTTTTGTGTGTGGGAGGGGCGTGGGGAGGACAGTGGAGAATGAATGCAGGGCCTTAAACTTGCTAGGCAGGCATTCCATTGTTCAGTTACATCCCCAGTCCCAAGACGTTACCTTTAAAATGTGATATTTGTTTTCGTGTTCAGTAAATATTTAAGGTCACAAATAAATAAACCCAGCCATAATCGCATTCCTCCTCAAGAGACAATGCCAGTAGCATTGCGTTTTGTATGTAGTCCCATATGCCTTCCCTGTAATTAAGATCCCAGAACATATAGTTCATTATGCTTTGCTTTTACCACTTACAAGAATGCTCTGACAGCTTCCTAAATTAGCCTCAGCCTAGACCTCCCTGTCAGCTTCAAATCCAACTTCCTGCCTGGCATCCCCACAGGGGAATGGAGATGAAAATGTCTAAATGAAGGACTTGATCTACATAGATAACCCTTCTCCTCCCATCCTTCCTCTCTGAAATTAGTACCACACACACACACACACACACACACACACACACACACACACACACACAGACATTTTTGTTAGGCCTCAATTTGAGCATTACTCCTGTTTCCTCTCTAATCCCTGTGCCATCCACATGATCAGAAATCTCTAGCTAGTCTGCAGTGCATCTCGGGTGTTGGCTGTACTAGTTACGCTCATGTGGCTGTGAGCACACTCGACAGAAACAATTGGAGGTGGCAGAAGGAGTTCGGGAGGTGGAGGCAACAGAGGACACCAAGGAGAACAAGACCCTCTAAAACAACTTTGAAAGGCTCATATGATCTCCCAGAGACTGAAGCAGCAATCGCAGGGCCTACACAGGTCTGCACCAGTCCCTGTATATATACCAAAGCTTTCAGTTTAGTGCTTTTATGGGACTCCTGAAAGTGTGAACAAGTGGGTCTCTGACTCTTGTGCCTTCTCTAGGGCTCTTTTTCTTTTCCTGCTGGCTTGTCTTCTCCGACTTCTATAGGATGGTTTTGTTTTATCTCATAATATTTTATTTTGTCATGTTTTGCCTGTTCTTTTCTAATGAGAGACAGAAAGGGAGGTGATCTTTTAAAGGAGGGGAAGTGGGGAAGAATTGGAGGAGTGAAGGGAGGGGAAACTGTGTTCAGATTATATTGTATGAGAAAAGAATCTATCTTTAATAAAAGGGGGAAACTGGGTATGCTTATAAGCTAAGTGCCCCCCAACACACACACAGAAACAAATATGAGACGTAAAAGTGGAAGGGAGTTGTGTGAATGAGGATTGTGGCAGAATAAGTAAGAATCAATATCACACTTTGTCCCTTATGCAGAATCTAGAAATTCATATATTTCATCTCATATATATATATATATATATATATATAAAATCATAAAGAAAACTATTTCGGTAAAGGAAGAAGACTAGTATGTTATTTGATGAAGGGATGGAGCGGGAGACAAGGGATGGATGCTTGAACATGAGCAATGTAGGGTGACATACATGTACACCAAAATACCATCATAAAGTCCACAAATCTGTGTGCCAACTAAAAACAATTTTATAATATACTATTCTAGCAAAGTATGCATAAAATTTGCATGTTGAGAATTTAAAGTATCACCATATATTCTTAAGGAACATCTAAATGCAGTCATGCACCAAATTATATTTTGGTGAACAACTGGCCATATATGCCACAGTTGTACTACAAAATTATATTGTCTGGTAAATCATAACTGTCTTTATATAAATACACTGTATGGTCATCAACAACAGATTTCTCAGAACACGTTCTCTTCATTAAAGGATACATAATTGTAAATAGAAAAAACAACTTTTTAAAAATGACTGAAAATAACTTCTCTAAATCTATCAACCATCTTAATGCAATCTAAAAAAATTTGATCTATGCTTTTAATGCACTAAATCCCAGTCATTGTAAAGTTTATATACAAATGCAAAAGATTTAGGATAATACTAAAAAAATCTGAGAAAGAAGTTTGGTTTGGAGAATTTATAGCATGGCTCAACATAAAGCTACAGTAATCAAACACATTCTGCTATATAGAAACACATAGATAATAAAATACAACCAAGACTCCAGAAGTAATCCCCACATATTGGAAATTGATGCTATACAAAGGAAATCATCCAAGCAATAAATGGCAAATGAATTAAACAGACACTTCTCAAAGGAAGAGGTACAGATGGTCAATCAATACATACAAAAATAGCCAACATCCTTACTCGTCAGGGAAGTGTAAATCAAATCTACATTGCCATTCCATCTTTCTCCAGTCAACATGGCTATCATCAAGAAAGGAACAAGTTACTGATGAAAAGCAAATGAAGGAGGACTCCCCAACCCTCCCACATTCAATCATCATCCCTACAATAGGGGTGATACATTCTCCCAACCCTTCCATTTCCTCTCACTTATTCAAGAGGATGGCACAGGAGAATCCAAACCCACCAGTATGTTCAGTTTGGATCTTAGCCTCTGCTGTACAAGTTATCCATGGTGAAGTATTTGTTACAGCAGCCTTAGTAAACTCATACACTATGTATCCAAATTACTACAACACAGCAAATGGAATAGGTAATATGGAAACTAAATCTTTGTCTCCAGCTCTATGTCTGACTCTACCTCTTTTGCTCATGCATTTGCACATTCTCATAACACATTCTCCAGTTTTATTTTGGTTGATATGGGTGACTTGATGGTTGTGTTTAAATTGTTCCATAGTGAACCTACTTTAATAAGCATAAATATATGAAACATTTAAAGTTATTAAGTTCAAATTGCAGTTCCCACACATTTTAATGTACTCGTGGAAAATAAAACATGATCCTGCTAACATGATAATTGAAGAGAACTTTTGATGACAAAGCTGCATTGACATCATTGTTCCACAAATATAATTATTTCCATAAAATGACATGTTATATTTATAAAAAAATTAAGTAGTGAAAGGTGAAATAATTATTGGAAAGAATTAGTAAAGATGAAAAACTGTGAACGCAAGGCTATGATGCCAAAATAGCTATTCTAAACATTTGTGCTTGCTATGGCTTGCAGTTAAAATTTAAAAATAGCACTTAAATATGCGTGTTAATAACATCCAGAAGGCATTTCTTTCAAGCCTGTTTGGGCTGTTGAAGGGTTTAATTTAACCACAGCATTCATTTATGTCTAGCAGTTAAATTTTTTTCTTTTAAGCTCAAAGGAACTGTGAGTTGTAACTATGATCTAATTGGTAAGGAATGAAGAAGGTTTTTCATGTTTTATAGACAACATGAATCCTGATCATTTTACAGCAGTAAATTATGAAATACTCCACTTGCTGTGTCTCCCTGTGGAAGCTGGGGCCTAGCTCATTAAACTGTAAAAATAACTTGCTGGGTTCCGCAGCTCCTACAAAGGCCCCGTGACAAGGTGGGTTATTTTTATTTCGCTAACCTGCATTCACCAGGCAGTCCAGAACACGTGAGATTCTTTAGCGTCCTCCACTAAATCAATTTATAACTCCATCTACATGTCAGAGGGGCTGTGCAAAGTCCTAAACTGCTGTAGAGGAAGATAATTTAGTATTGATTTTTCCCCAGCCTCTCCTCTCTCTCTCTCCTCTCTCTCTCTCTCTCTCTCTCTCTCTCTCTCTCTCTCTCTCTCTCTCTCTCTCTCTCTCTCTCTCTCTCTCTCTCTCTCTCTCTCTCTCTCTCCCTTTAAAAAAAAGCTCCAATGCACTAGTTCTTTGGATTCTTCCTGCAACACAAATTAGCTATAGTGCATATGTGATGCATCCACTAGGGTTTCTGTGGGAAGGAAATGGATATGACAGGCTATAGTGGATGCCTTCCTGATGGCTTAAGGAGAAATAAAGAATATCCTTGTGACCATTTAAAAACAAGAAGCAAAAACTCACCAGTCTGCTCTGGTGACTATGGAGAGCCATAAAAATTTTAAAGCCTGTGATCTGCTTTTCAAATATGCACACTAGATTGCACCTGACCTAAGAAACAAGGTTATTTGTTTAATTTCCTTGGGGGAGGGCACTACATTAATTCCATGGTTTTTCTCATAGCCTAAAAGAGACAAATATCCAAATTGTAAATAACCTGAAGGCCACGCTTACAACTTCTGAGCAGAGGACGTGAGGAAAAGACCATGACATGAAATCTGTAGCCCGCAGCACTAGATGCCCAGTCCTGAAATGATTGATTCTGATCGCCTTCCTCCTCTACAGAGAACAGCCGGTAGTTGCATTCTACAGCAGCAGTTTCGACATTCTCCAAGACCAGAACAAGGGCCCTGGACCTAGGCTTCCAGAATCCCTCCCGGTCGGCCCTGAGTTCCTTCACTTCTATTCTTCGCATTTACAGCATCAAATAGAGACTGTCTCTGTCGTGAGAATATGGTTTGGATTTATCGGTAAAAATAGCAAACAGTTTTTTATGACTGCAGATTACCGTAATAGCTGTTAGGAAGATTGAGATAGAAAATAACAGAAGCTAAGTCATTTGTTTTTGTTTTTCAAAGCAGCATTTCTCTGTTGCTTTGGAGGCTGTCCTGGAACTAGCTCTCTTAGACCAGGCTGATCTCACACTCACCGAGATCTGCCTGCCTCTGCCTCTGGGAGTGCTGGGATTAAAGGCAGAAGTCTTGTGAGCATCTGCGACCTCCCTGGGCAGAAACTTACCTCGGCTCCCCCTCCCACGGCCACCCCATCCTTACAATCAAATTGTGTTTCCTGCTTTTTGTCCCCCTGTAATAAATTGTTCCATCCTTCAAAAGTCTTAGTTTTCTTGTTGAAAACTACATACTTTAATAATACACTGTATCACCAATGTATTTGGATTTCTCTCCCAAAGTTACAGTTGGTGCTGATGGAGGTACTTTTAATTTTTCATTTTGTTTAAATGACTTCCGGGTCCAAATCTGTGAAATCTGTTTCATGTGCACCAGCGTCAGTGTCCAACTTTTGAAATAATAATTATTTTTTAAAATAATGTATTTATTTGTATTTCATATGCATTCGTGTTTTGCCTGCATGCACATCTCTGTGAAGGTGTCAGATCCCCTGAAACTGGAGTTACAGGCAGTTATGAGCACCTATGTGAGAACTGGGAGTTGAACCCAGGTCTTCTAGAAAAGCCGCCAGTGTTCTTAACTGCTGAGCTACCTCTCCATCCCCCAACTTTTGAAATTATTATTATTTTTTGTTTTTAACTTGTCTCCCAACCTCTGTTGTCCTGGCATTTGCATTGTGTAATTGTTACTTAATTAATTGCACAGTGGATATTCTCACAAGTTTTATTCTGCTTTGTTTGGTTGGGTTTTTGTTTGTTTTTGATGTATTTATTTGTTTCTTTCTTTTGAGACAGGCTATCATTGTGTAGAGGAGACTAGACTCAAACTCACAACATGCTACCCACCTCTGCCTCTCAAGTGCCAGGATTAAAGGTATTCACCAGACTGCTCCAGTTCTGCTCACTCCTGGGTCCCTTTGCAGTCCCCTTGACATGTATTAGCTCGGAAGGAGAGCTGAGAGAGACTTATATTTGCCAAGTGGTCTGGAAATTTTTGTTTGTATGTCCAGTGACATTATAACGGGTATGGAGGGGGCAGGAATCAGGAGACAAGAACAACATCTACCTACAGGCAGCTTCCCACAGTTGGTGGTAAACCCCTTTAGGCCACGGCCATGTCCTTCCCTCTGTAGCTTCCCACCTTGCATGAGGAAAGCATTCTTAGACGTTAGAATGGTCAGTGGGAACAAATCTCTGTGCTTGTCATACCAGTGTCCCACTGGATGGTTCAAAGAGGACACCTTTGTGTTCCTTTTCTCTCTGTCTCAAGCCACGTTGTATATGATTAATCAGTACTCAGACATATCTGATGAACTGTGTTGGGCTCCCATTATAGTTATGAGCCTTTTTGTTCTTTTCTCTATAATGCTTTTAGTCATGCCTTCTTTGAGTCTCAAACAATCCATTTTATAGATAGGTTAGCCAAAGCCTATCTAAATACCATGCTCCTAAAATGAAACAGTCCACAGGGCCAGTGAGATGGCTCAATGAAGCCGGAGTTCCAGAAGATTTCGAGCCACTGTGTGAATGCTGGGAACTGAACTCTGCTCTCTGGAAAAGCAGTCAGCACTCTTGACCACTGAACCATCTCTCCAGTCCCCTCTTTATGGATATCTTCTTAAAAGTTAAATTCAGCTATGGGTGATTTATTGTATTAACCCTAAACCGAATGACATGCTTAAGAGTGTGGCTAGAAAATATTTCACGATGTCCCATGAATATCACTTTACGTTATGATAGACAATACTTTCGGCTACCTTCAAGAATCATTCCTTCGTTTACAACTCTTTTCTCAAATGTGAAAAGGACAGAGAGATTACTTTATTTCTAATTTTTAAGTTGCAAGGAATCTGATTTACTTTTTGCTTGGCACCACAAGCAGTTTGAGTCTCACTACTCCGGTCCCCAGTGGTACATAAGCAATCCAGTTGCCTTTCAAAGACGTATCAATAACCATCTTCTTGGCCAAGTTTTATTGAACACATCTTTCTTCTGCAGCAAAATGCAATCTGGTTTTGATGAGTGGGAAGGATGGTGGACAAAAAGGTAGAAGAATCACTCAGTTAAAAACAAGTATTGGCTAAAAGTGGAGAGTTGCGGGGATGGGGGGGCGGGGGCGGGGGGGGGGGACGGGGGAACACGGACACTGAAGCCACAGTGTGAATACTTTAAGATAGATGAATGCTTTGAAAGACGGGGGTGGTTCCTGACCACATAATACAAAGCAATAGATGAGTTTAATTACCCAAAGCATATGAGCAGTAACATGCCACACAGGGAATGAAGCATAAATTTACAAAACCTTGATTAATACTGGCTCAGTAATATAAAGCATAACCATTAAGTATGAACCAATGTAATTATGGTTTGCAAAACTATAATTTATTCACATCCGAAAAGGCATTGCCACTAAATGTCATAAAAAAATACAGATGCACCCACTAAAATAACCCCGGTGCCTTGAACACTTAGGAACTGTTTTCTGTTTAATTTTGTGTGTGCCCGTGTATTTGTAATCTATCTGAGATTTCTGTATGTATGAGTCGGAAATAAGTTCAGTTCCAGCTGAAGGAGATGCCTGCTGAATGTTAATGAGACAGACTGTCTATTTTAATACATGTTTTTGTACAAACTGATTATATTAAAGTATGTTGTAATTGAATTATTTTCTACACTATTATTTAGGAGTGCTTGTTATTTTTTTTCCCTGAGCTCTGGTTTTTAGCATACCTATAGTGAGCTTGAGATATTTAAAATGAGACAGCTTGAAAGACAAAGGCAATCCCATGACCAGCAAGGATTACTTGTGTTGCAGGTAAAAATTGAGTTCTAGGAGGATCTTGTACTTACATTTAGAGCTTATTTCTCCATGCTTTTACACTGAAGCAAACTGATTTCTAGTCAGACGAGTGTCCTACCCTCTTTAAGTCACCAAGAGCCAAACATTTTAAATTACTTAAATCTGTGGTCACATAAAAAGCAATCGTTCTGATTGTATTCACCTACCAAATTCTCCCACATGGGTGATATTCTGAATTATAAAACCATCTGCCTGCTTATAATTGGAGCCAGCTTCTCATATTTGGCTCTCTTAATGTGAAGGTTCAGTTGTAAGCTAATAAAATTAATTATATTTGCTTCTGAAGAGGCAACCAAGCAGTGGAGTCCTTTTTCATCTCCTTTTTTGAACCAATGTGATCTGATTTGCACAATTCAAACACATAAACATAACTAATATGAGGAGAAAGTAAATAAACCAAACCAATAATAAAAAGAGACACCATTCAAAGAATACTCACTACATTTTAGGCAGATGCTCAGTATATCATCACAATGTTCTTACAAACTCTTCAGTAAGCTTGTCAAAACAGCTCTATATCCATATCTGCCCTGGTGAAACAGGCTTCTAGATATTTGGTGATGCATTAAACGATACATCTGTGAGCTATTTGTTGCTGGAAAGAGGTTAAAAAAAAACAAGTATATGTTTATTTTGAAGGTAATCCTCGATAAAAAGGATAACCTTTACCCTCAAAATGTTCCATGATGAGACATTTTCCCAGTAGGCAGCAGTGGTGCATGCATTTGATGCCAGCCCTCAGGAGGCAGAGGCGGGCAGATCTCTGTGAGTTTAAGGCCAGTCTGGTCTACAGAGCAAGTTCCAGGACAGGCTCCAAAGCTACACAGAGAAACCAAAATAGAAAGGAAAGAGAGAAAGGAAAGAAAGGAAGGAAGGAAGAAGGAAAGAAAGGAAGGAAATAAAAGAAAGAAAGGAAGAAAATAAAAGAAAGAAAGAAATTTAGCCGGGCGGTGTTGGCACACGCCTTTAATCCCAGCACTCGGGAGGCAGAGGCAGGCAGATCTCTGTGAGTTCGAGGCCAGGCTGGACCGATAGCCTCCAAAACAATACAGAGAAACCCTGTCTCATAAAAACCAAAAAAAAAAAAAAAAAGAAAGAAAGAAAGAAATTTTCCAAATGTGTTCTTCTGCAGGTGTTTCTACTGTCTCAAATGCTTGGCTTAGAGCTTTCCATGTGAGCATAAAGATATATGTCAACTAAGATTCTAGGCTAAAAATTGGATGCATTTATTTTATATTAAGGGATAAGTTTATTTCTCAGCTGTCTGTTGCTGTGACAGAATAATTGAGATATTCAACTTACAAAGAGAATATATGTCTTAGCTCATGGTTACAGAGGTCTCTACTATCTTTTGGGCCCTTGGGTGTGGGGTGACGAAGCCCATGGCAGGAAGTGGTAAGATGGGTTTGTGGTGGACAGGAAGTAACATCAGACAGGAAGGGGCTGGGCTCTTGTTATCCTCTTCTAAAACACTCCCTAGAATAGTTTAACTTCCTCTTCCTGTGATCCTCACCTCCCAAGACTTTAATACACAGGCCTTTGGGGAATTTTTCAGATCTAAACTGTAACAAATACATTAACTTCCTCTTTGATCTTTAACTCAATTTTTAATAAAACCTTTACCTATCATACAGGAAATACGTTGACACTTGCAAATATATAATGTGCTGGGAAGTTTGCAGTTCAGGATTAACTCTTTTGAGATTTCAGTACAGCAATGTCTTTGCTTATAAAACTGAACCTTGGTTGCCCTCCTTCAGTGAAAGTAGCATTCAAGGAGATGTACTTGGGGAATAAATTCATCCAACTAGTGCCCGCAAGAGTTTGTCAATGCCAACTCATGATATAATGGCACTTATATGTGTCATTTATGGTTTTGGAGCTTGTATTGTGTATTGTACAGTATCCACATCTATAAGTATCATCCAATATCTACAAACTCCTAACAAGGTAGTCATTTCACTGATAAGGAAAGAGAAACAGCTAAGTAATTTGTCCAAGGTCACACACTCTTAGACCCAAAGTAATGCTTGAAGGCTCACTGACTGATTACAGGGCACAGCTGGTATCCTACACCTATCAGGGATAACATTTGTTAGTCTTACTGACTCAGCTTTGATAGGGGG